TCCAGCGCTGCACTGAGTCCACCTGTATAGTGTGTATCCGGCTGCACACACACACACACACACACACACACGTTACATGTCTTCACAGGTGCAGGATTGTAGATATGAGAACGGTCACTCACCNCTCTCACACACACACTCCAGCGCGCAGGCCTCTGCTAAACACACCCTGTGATGTGGCTGTATTAGTGTGTGTGTGTGTGTGTGTGTTTGTGTGTGTATTAGTGTGTGTGTGTGTTTGTGTGTGTATTAGTGTGTGTGAGAGTGTGATTGTGTGTGAACAGATGGAGCACCTGCCGATCCACTGGTGTGTGTGAAGTTAATTGTTCATCAGGGGTGTTCAGAGAATCATGAACATCGGTGAGCATCACACACACACACACACACACACACACACACACACACACACACACTATTCCTGCTGAGCCATGAACCACTCGGGCTTCAGACACACACACACCTCAAGATCCGCTTCATCATACACTGTGTTTGAGGAGTGAAACCCAAATCAACTGCAGGTTGCAGATGGACACACACACACACACACACACACACACACACACACACACACACACACTGAGGAGTCATTATACGGCTGAAATTGTTACGTACATCTTTCCAGAAAAGGAGGAGCAGCTGCTCTGCCGGGAGCTCTGCGGCGACGACATTCTCCTGCAACACACACACACATACACACACACACATTGTTGAAGATAGCAACACACACACACACATGAACACACACACACACATGAATACAATATAACACACACACACACACACACACACACACACACACACACACGTGTCAGTTTTCTTGCAGAATGAAACTTCATTCAAAACTTTACAATAATGTAAGTCTTGCCAGCGTACAGAACACACACACAAACACACACACACACATCAGTATATTCTGCTTCCTTCACACACTGCTGCGCTCAAACACTCGCATAAACTGAGCAACAATGAAATAATCTGAGTTTGATTTTATAGTAGAGCTGTAAGTACACCATCATCCTGAATACAGCACCAGCCAACACACACACACACACACACACACACACACACACACACACTGATGAACACACTGCAGAAAACACACACACACACACACACACACACACTCTGATGAACACACTGCAGAAAACACACACACACACACTGATGAACACACTGCAGAATACACACACACACACACTGATGAACACACACAGTGTGTGTGTGTGTGAATGCATGAGCAAATTCATGTGTTCACACACACACACTTACCCTGTCTCTCTCATTAAACTCCATCATTAACGCACACACACACACACACACACACTCTGATGAACACACTGCAGAAAACACACACACACACACTGATGAACACACTGCAGAATACACACACACACACACTGATGAACACACACAGTGTGTGTGTGTGTGAATGCATGAGCAAATTCATGTGTTCACACACACACACACTTACCCTGTCTCTCTCATTAAACTCCATCATTAACGCCGCACACACACACACACACACACACACACACAGAGAGAGCTGAAGAGGGCGGGTGGAGGAGCTGTTGAGCAGGTGGAGGGCCGTCATGATCTCAGCGCTTCACTGTAAGAGCCTCTCACTGCGGTAAAGAGCTGCAATACTGACATCAACACAGAGACCCGCTGACCTGAGCCCAGTGCACAACCACAGCTGCAGGTGTGTGTGTGTGTGTGTGTGTGTGTGTGTGTGTCCAACTGACAGAACAAAACAGTGAATAATAAGATCTACACACATTACAGCCAGACTGACAGGTTCCCTCATTCATCAGGGGTCACCACAGTGGAATGAACCACCAATTACCCTGGCATATGTTTTATGTCCATGCGGCAGTGAGAAACACACACACACACACACACAAACAAACTCCACGCAGAAACACTGCTGGTCCGGCTGAGACTCGAACTGGTGACCTTCTGTCTGTGTGCTGCCGCTGAGCCGCCGCTCCGCCACTACAGACACCCTCAGCTCATATATCCTCACAGCGT